TGATGCAGTGATGCACGAGTATCTGTGAGGGTTCTTTTTTTTTTTTTTTTTTTTTTGGTCTATGCTGTTGATTTATCTGCTATCTTATTCAATATGCACGGACTGACCGAAAGTGTATGTAGTAGCTGGCTATGCCGTGGGCGGAACGGAGGGGGAGGAGTGGAAGAAATAGATATCCGGGCTGTAGAGTCTATGGAAAGGGGCCTGGGAAGGGGACTGTGGCTGGGGCAGAGAAGGCTAATGGAGACGTACCCGTATTGGGGATTAGGGAGAGAATGGGGTTAGGCTGGGCGACTAATATACTAATGTCCTGTAGCCGTGACTGTTACCAGGTGTCGAAACGGGGGGGTGGGGCGAGCAGACAAGACGAGATTGGGGTGGGGAGTAGGTTAGTTTCAAAGGAAATCGCTTAGGCCATCTCACAGCAGATTTAGGTTCGCCTTTCCTTCACACGTATATAGTCGCAAATGCAGTCTCGAGTCACCGCTGTCGCTTCTGGATTCTTTGTATCGCTCTCCTTTCCTCTGGTGTGTACTGCTGCTCTCGCCGAAATCACTTCTCCAGTCCGCTGAAGTGAACCTGGCTAACTACTAGCCCCTGGGCAGGATCTCTCTTCTTCTGACAAAAGAACCTGCCTTAGAAGCTGCCTTACCGCTGCCTTATGGCTAGACTTCGGTTCACTTGTCCTTCTGTCCTCTTAGGAGATCTATAGCTTGTACAGCTCCTCTTGTCTCCTTATGGGGCCGTTTCGCCCTTTTTCCGTAATTGGAAAAAGGTGCTAAGAGACAAAATAGGTCTAGATTTGCTTTTGTAGCTTCGAGAGTACGTCTGTCTTGCCCTTTTTCCGTAATTGGAAAGCGGGCGAGAGGTCTTAGGCCTCGATCCTCAGATTCTCTTTGTGATTTTCGTTTTCTTCTCCCTCTCAGATTTCGCCCGTCGTATCGAGTCTCCTACTCGGATTCGTCCTCTTCAGCAACCGATATTGCCCTTCCTCTTACGTGGTTCCCGAAAAGTGGATGGCTCGATAAGCTTTCCTGGTTGTTGCGAACATCATGAGCCCTTGATGGAGACCATGTCGCTAACCCTCTCGTTGACCTACGGAAACGATCCCACTGGCAGCCCTGTTCGAGACTGGCGAACGTCCAGATAGTCGAGATCTCGCTAGGATAAGCTCCCAGAGATTTGACTCTCCGCCCTATCGCTTTTCCTCTGGTTGCCTCTGTCCTCCCTAATCTCGACTTTTTATTGTCGTGTTCCTCTACCGACTTCTACGTTGAGTTCTTCCTCGCTATCTCGCTATGAGATGCTCCTTGATAGTTCCCTAGAGGAGATGTCCCGGGGGAGTGAATCTCCGCCCTGCCCCAAATACGATCGACTCGAACGTACGGTGGGATAGGGTCGAGGTGCTTGGGCGCCTGCTCATTAATCTGCGCGGCGTCACGCCGCGATGCTGTCTGTCGCGCTCTCGCACGACAAAAGTTCGGGGCGATGGCGCGTGGCAAGGTGCAGCTTAGCGCAGCGACGTAGCGCTAACCGGCGGCGCGTTCGCTTTCACAACTACGGGGCCTCTAAAAATGCCCAGCATGCTTGCTATCTACACATTGGGAAAAACTGCAATTCTCAATTCTCTTTTTTGAAGTTTTTTCTCTTTTAGTGCTTAGCCCAAAGGAATCATAATGTCTCTCCGACGCACCAAAACCTTCGTTGTTGTTTTTCTCTCGTCATTTTCCAGATAAGGTAATAGCATGCTGCCTTTTTTTTTTTTTTTTTTTTTTTAACAAATGCTCCAGTCTATTCATGGGGAGCAGCACGTGCTGGGAACCG